GAGAGAGAGAGAGAGAGAGAGAGAGAGAGAGAGAGAGAGAATCACTGTTTGAAGCATGCCCCTGGGTTGGCTGATTGGCTCAATGCCACTTAAGAATCTCAGCTTCACTGTTCTCTGACCTCCCGTTGTCCCCGTTCTGATTTATGGGGCTTAGACTCTCTCCAAAGGCAAAGTGTCTGGAGTTTAGGGTCTTTGCTTCACAGCCCCTCCTCTTCCCTGTGCCCTCCCCCTGGCTTGTGTTCACCTTGTCGTAACCTTGCAGAACTCAGCATTTTTACCTGGGCTCGACAGTCCACTAGCGCTGAGAGCAAGCCGTGGCTTCCATTCCTGGGTGATAGAGTCATGGGAGAAACTGCAGTGAGCAAACAGAGTGGGACCTGAGCCGGCTGGAGTGCGAGCTAAGCCGCTCAGGGCAGAGCAGCTGCTGAGTCTCCCAGCCTGCATCTGTCACTGACCACTGAAGTGTGTGTTTGAGCAAGGTGAGAGCGGGGCTGTTCCTTAATCTGGAGACAAATTGCCAGGTATTGCTGTTGATTATGCTTGATAATTTGGGGGTACATATATCACCAAAAATTTAGGTTGTTGACTGTGTGTGTGGCTTTGTTTATGCCCTTGTTCACCCTCAGAGTCCCTTCAGCTCTCCACAGTACATGTCCGATCACGGCAACAGACTGGACGTGGAGCTGCTCTTCCCCCACTGCAGTGTGGTCATTTAGTGAGTCTCTTGGAGTTCTCTCGTTAATCGCTGCTGCCAAGCGTCGTGGCTGTCCTTATACAGATTCCCAGTGCTAACTGGAAGGCGTGTTACAACTGCTTTAGCTAGAAGTCTGAATTACTATTTTTAAATTCATGGTGTGATGCATTCTTTGTTTCCCCACATGCTAAGCACTGAAACTTTCTGAAGTAGAGTCTCCCTGGGATGGTCTAAGGACAGAAGAAGTGTGGAGCTTCTACTCATTTACTTAGCAAACTGAAACTTCTACTTTATCATCTGTATGTGTGTGTCCATGGCACAGGTGTGTGTGTGTGTGTGTGTGTGTGTGTGTGTGTGTGTGTGTGTGATATTTTAAAATATCTCAGAACCAAAAGAAAACTCAATAATATTTATCTTCTGATATGCTTCTAGTTAACTTAGCAGCATGTAAAGTTTTTTCTGAGTACATTTAAATTGTACAACTTCAAGTTCTGTGTCTACTAGATAACACAGATACTCTATGAGCTTGTGAGAGTATGTGGGGACATTGCACACATCCTCCTGAGTTCTAACAACAGGCACTAACCCATGTTCTTGGGTAAACAGATGGCCCTTAATCCTGAGCCACCACAGCATGCTAGCTACCAAATTAAACCTGTAAAATATGTAAAGAAGGTATATGGTTTCATAGTGGCTAAATAAATATATAGGATATTTTCACTCATGGGTCGTATCTCAGAAAGGGGGAAAGTATAGGATTCAGATTTTGTATAAGTAGGATTAGAAAAACATCAGGAAAGCTACTGAGTTTTGAAAAGGGACAGGGACACCGTATGAGTTGCAGAGTCACTGTGAAGGGGCAGTGAAGCGCCCTGCAGCCTCAGATGTTGAATTTCTAACGAAAGAACAGCACCACACCTAAGGGAATTCAGAGTCAGCAGAAGCGTGGCCAAGAAAAAAAGTTTAGTAAAATATGTTGTCAACTTGAGGAATGTACATGTCTGTACTAATTAAATAGAATTCTAATGCAAAGAGCAAAACAATTAACATAATACCTTTTAAATGTTTATTTAAAATTAGCTTATATGTAGGTAGACTCTGGAAATGAATGCAGTAAACATGTTTAAAATTCTATGCGTTTAAACTTATTTAAAACAGCCAGCAAATAACAGACGATGTTCACATTGTCCATTCCCCCTCTGTCAGTTTAGCAGGAATGTTTGGAAGCTCCAAGCTAGAATGTCACCTGTTTTCACACACCTAGGGGTTGCTTAATGCCTTGAGCCCTCTGCTCATGGCTTCCTGCTTTCAGAATCTGTATGAGAGCCTTGAACTGATTCACAGAAATAACCTGACTCTACCATCAGCATGATTTCCAAGTGAGTGAGAACAGCACAATTCATGTCACAGCCGTGGCTGAGGAATGCAGAGGATTGATCATAGCTGTTCTGTTCTTCTGTTGGATCCTTAACTCTCCTGGGTATCCACTGCCATAATCTACATTTTGGGTAATTTGTTTGAAGTGCTTAACATAACTTCAGTTCTATGACTTGAAAGACATCCTTACCCCTGTGATACAAGCACTAGAGTATCCATAGTTCTCTGATGACATCAGGCTCCAATGTTCAAGTGTGGCCCACTTGTATCCATGCTCATCTTTCATGCAAAAGGCTGGATCATCATCCTGGCTGAGGCATAATCAATCTAAGCAGAGGAAAAGGACCTTGAGTGGCATCTGTGTTTATTCTTTAGATGACTAGCTGACTTCGTGAAAAGAGGTCCAGAAAATTTACAGATTAAAGGCCCTGATCTCAAAGCATATCTCAGCCTGTTCAAATACATTTATTCCGATGCAATTAAGCTCCCTTAATGAAAAAATGGTGTTTTGTTATTTATATATGATAAATACATTTTATCATTTTAAAAATGATTAAATATATTAGCATGTTGTGTTCTTGCTTCCACAGTTTTTCAGATTTATGTTTTTCCAGTCTAGTCTTTAATGTTACTACTACATCTTTAATTTACTAAATGACACTTCTTTTGATTTATATTCACTATCATTGAGCAACCTACAGTTTGGTGAGAAGTCAGTAATGTTTTATCCCTAGAGAAGAGAAGAGCCCATCTTCTCTGATGTCAAGTGAGTGATCTGCTCACTGCCTGAGCAAGAAATAGGGTGGCCAAGGGAAAGAGGGAGCCGCAGGGTCACTGTGCAGGCAGTGACTGCTTGCTGTGCCTGCCAGGCCTACCATTTGTGTGTGGACTTGGAAGCCTCCATGAGTTGTCTCCATTGACTGGCACTATTTGGTTAGGCTGAGATGAAGATGATGGACACACAGACCTGGCTTCCAGTACTCCCATGAGTTCTAGCTGGTAACTAGCCACTGGCTTCTAGTACTCCCATGAGTTCTAGCTGGTAACTAGCCACTAAGTTTTGTTCTGCTTCTTATTGTCTCTCAAAGAAGCATAGCTTCCCACAGCATAGTGAATTTACACAGAACTCCTGAGTCTTACATCCTGGCCTCTAGGTAGGCCTAAGTTGTATGTAGAGAGGCCACATGGAAGCAGAGAGTACGATATGTCTATTTCCTTGAGATATTTCTTTTCTTTCCTTTTTTCTTTTTTTTTGGTTTTTTGAGACAAGGTTTCTCTGTGTAGTTTTGCACCTTTCCTGGAACTCACTTTGTAGACCAGGCTGGCCTCGAACTCACAGAGATCCACCTGCCTCTGCCTCCCGAGTGCTGGGACTAAAGACTTGTGCCACTACCGCCTGGCAAGAGATATTTCTTTCTGAGGCCTATGCCTTGATAGTCATAGGGCTCCTTAGCAGAATTTGGGTCTATAAGTCCTCAGAAGCTGAAGTAGGAATAGATGGAGCTCAAGGTTCTTCTTCGTAGACACAGACTGCAGACATTTCTTGCATGTCTGCTTAACCTCAAACTTTCTATGTAAGAGAGGGCAGCCTTGAACTTGGGATCTTCCTGCCTCTGCCTCCAGAGTGCTGGGATCACAGACAGATGATGCCATACCCTGTTTATGAAATTTTGGAAACCCAGGGCTTCTTGCATGCTAGAAAGCACTTTAGCAAATGGCCTGCATCCTTAGTTTCTTACCTTTTTATCTTATGTTCAATGACTTCTAAGGAAAAGGAAAAGGCAGTTGCCAGAAGATACACCTGGACTCTAACTGTGGTTATCCTTGGTCATCCATCACAGGTGGTATCCAAGGAACTGATTGTTTCTTATCCAAATGCCAGGGACCACAGCTGCAGTTTGTATTTGTGTTTTTCTGAATTTTGGCATATTTGGATATGTATGCTATTTCTTGGGTATAAAACTCAGGTCCAGATATGAAATTCATTTTGCTTTCACAGTATTTTATGCTTAAACCACCTGGAGGTAATTCCATACATACTCTTAGGGCCTGTGCCTTGACCACAGTTTGCCTCGGGAGGCAATGACTAAAATTGTCCACCTATGGTGTTGGGCTGGTGTTCAAAAAGCAGCACTGTAGAGTGCTTTGTAGTTAGGGTTTGGATATTTGAGGTGTATATCCATGTGTTATGATCAATACAATTCCTGTTTAGTTATTTGAATTATTTGTACTAGCACTGGTTTAGGAAGTAGGTACATCTTGTCATACACACAATTTCTAAGAAAATATTAATTATCGATTAAATGTAAACTTTGTGTAATAACCCAAACATTCTCATCAATGTACAATTCCAGGAATCCTCAAGAAGCTGGGGTACAGGTCAGAGTCGTGGGACCTGCTTAGCACATGTAAGGCCGTGTGTTCAATCCCTAAGACCCACCACTACACATACAAACTTTTCTTAGTAAAAGAGCATCAAGATAGTTTAATATACCTTCAAAATAGTTCTACTGAGCATGGGCATTCTTCACAAAGAAAGTATTGCCAAGTATTCGATGGTATATTGGGCTTTAAGAGAATGTCCAAGAATTTTAATTCAGTACTTTTTAAATCAATGAAAACAGACATTTATTATTCTCTTTTGATGAACTATTTTAAAGATCAATATGCTTTGCATGTTTTTATAATGAAGTATTCAACAAGTATGGAGAGTCCATCTCTTGCAGCTCTTGGTGTCCTGCAGAATGGATGTATGGGGCAATAAATATACTAGGTCATTTAATAAAGAGGATTTATTGCTTTTCAGCCATTTTGTTGGCTTTCAGTACATTTATTGCCCCATACATGTATTTATCATTTGAAATAGATCTCAAGAGTAAATGTTTCCAAATTAGGGTTCTAGTCACCCCCAGTTAGGCTAGAACTTCTTTAGAGAATGATCTCTTTGTGGATTCGCCATTCAATTTTGGTTTAAACCATCATTTGATCTGGTAGTTATTCGGTAAACAAATCAACCAACCACACACTGGGGCAGGGTTGTCTAAAGATCCCCACAAGCCTTCGGTGTTGTCAGCTCGATTTGCCTAACAAAGAAAGAATATTAAAATAATGTTGATGATTCTGACCAAGCAAAAGCATCACTCCTCCTCACATATGAGAATCCACAACCAGCCGTGCCTACACTAGCAAACCTAAAATGTGCCAAGAGACACGTGTGAAGTCGTTAGAAATTCAGGTTTTAGCTGACCTGGCAAACTGTCGCTGCAAGGTCCCTACTTCTCAACTCAGTAGCAGTGTGCGCTGCTATTAGATAGTGGACAGAATAATTCGCTTAAAATTGGGATAGATTAACCTTTCCTTCCACTCCTGCTTTGATTAAATAAGAACCATCCAAAACCAAAACATTTCCCTTTGCACTTCACCTTTTCATTCCCTAAATATTTTAAACAGGAGAGAATGCATTCTTGTTTGGATGGGAATGGAGTTTCTTAACTCACTGTTTTCTTTTCCCATTCCAGGGATAGAGTGATTGGCATTTCCCACTGGAATTTAGCATATAAACATGTGGAATTTCAAAGCTGTGGGGGTGGAGGGAGAGAAAGAGCCAATAAGAATATCAAATACTTGTGCAAGACCTCCCTTAGAAAAGAAATAAAAAAGTGTCTGATGCACAAACATAAATCTAAAGGAGTCAAAGACTTAAAAGACAGTTAAAACCGGGAGTGTCATGGAAGCAGGTTTAGCGTGAGCCTCCTTGCACACAGTAGATGCTACACCAATGTCTCTACGCTGCCATGAGCAGGGTGGTGGAAGTCATTCCACTGTAGCAGAAATGAGGGGCCCAACGTGCCCGCCTTCTGTACTGACAGCCCTCGTTCTCTGCTCCTTTCAGCCTCCCAGGAACAAACAATCACAGAGTAGTGACAATATGTTTTGTTTAGAACCACGCGATGTTAGGTGAAAATCCAGAATGTGTCCTTGCTCATACTGTTCCTTCCTAAGTCTGATTTTTTTTGCCTGAGGCCTCACAGAGAGCTTGCAGGACTCTGATCTGGAGTTCTGTTGTTGGGGCGATAGAATGAGGAGTTGTGATTTGTGCTTGAGCACTCCAGAGGTAGCAGGCTGGACTGCACCGAATCCCCGGCAATCACGCCGGTGAGCAGGAGGGCTGCAGCAGGAAAAGGTTCTCTTTCTTCTGAGCCTGTCACTTCTTATCTCCCACTTCCTGTTCTTCTGGCTAATTTCGTTATCCTGGAATTCTCTCCAGTTCCCTCCCATGACCTCCCCTAACATCTCACACCATACCGTGACCTGGACAACAGAAACACTTACATCATTCACGCTCTGTTCCTCAGGCTGGCAGCCTGTTTAGAACAACGTGCAATGTTCCTAGCAACAGATTAAGGCAAATCCACAGAACCTCAAAAGCTGCGGCCACTGAAAGCAGAAGGTCACCTAGTCATATCTGGAATGTCTGCCTGTGGGCTTGTACTAGTTAAGAAACCCATAAATGTTAAACATTTGAGATTTTATCTTTCACTGAAACTTGGGAGGAGCAACCATTTTCAGAAACAATCACTAATGAAATTGGTCAACATGCTGGTATGAGGGTCGAATGTGTGCACGCTGAAGTATCCAAGTGGACCACTTAGAGCTCATGATGTCAGCAGGGGGTGATCTTGATTATCAGAAATATTTACTATGAGAAATGAACACAGAAAATAGGGGAAGCTAGACCTTCATGAAGAACCTTGAGTGAGCTGTTGGATGACAAGTTAGTATTTCTGGACTTAAGTTTTACATCTGTAAAATTAGCCTCCATTGCATATCAATGATACACTATGTACACATGCTTTCCACAGCAGAGAAAATGAAAAGTTAATTTATGGATGGTAATATTTTAACAAATAGATTACTGGGATTTGGTGGATTTGTGAATTTTCCTAACTGGGTGGGATGATAAAAATGGGCAGTGATTGTTAAAGAAATTAAAGAAAATGAGTGGAAGATCAAGGGGCAAGTACGATCACCAGAAAAGAAATGTCTTACTGATGGCTTCTACCAACAGTGCGAGTACAATAGCACACTCAGAAAGAGGCACTTGTCTGTGTGTGATGGTGAATATATAGAGAAGAATGAGGTAGAGACAGAGGGATGAAGGAAAAGAAAAGAGTGCATGAAATAATATTTTAAAAACAGCACCAAGATGTCTTATCTGTATTCTTTAGGTCAGATTTGCCTGTAATGTTCAAAGTCTTCCCTGATCCCCACCTCTCCCTAGCCACAAGGCCACAACAAATAATGAAGTGTAGACACTCTGATTACAGGCATGCGTTATCAGTCCATAGGGAGAAAGAAGAAAGGGGAACTCGGTGTGCTTTGAACACACAGAACGTGATGCACCTGCTAAATCAAATGGAGAGAAACTGAAGTCTGAGGTTTCTGGCAGAAATCAAGGAGTGAACACAGGCCCCAAACTACATGACTATTTGTGAAGGACAAATATTGATTGTTCTTTGCTTTGTGATATACTTGTTTCAATGGTACTTGCTCACTAAATGGCAAAGTCTTCTCTGTGTGAAAGCCCAAACTCTCTCACGTGTTACAAACACTTCATCAGAATGGTAGGAGCCTCCAGCAGGGAAGTATTGAGACAGGGCAAACCCATTCAATCTACATCCTCAAGTATAATGGCTAAGTATCAGAAATCAGGTCTACACACCTTGCTTTTCATTAATTTCACAATAATTATATCCATTTAAAAGGAAAAACATTCAGATGGTACATACCTGTAACCTAGCACTTAAGAAGAAACAGGCAGATCATGAGTTCAAGACTAGCCTGAACTAGAGAAGAATTTTGAAGCTAGTCTGAGCTAAATGAAACCCTATCTGAAAACAAACAAAGAAACAAAAAACCACCAAATAAAAGATTGAGTAAAATTCCATAACATTCCAGAAATTAGTCATCAGGTCTTTTGAGGAGTGTATTTGCTGTGGGTCTAATTTGCAGAAAGTCATTAACGAGCTAGTGAAATTAATTGAATATCTTCATCCTCCTCTTCTTTCAACTTCTATTCTTCATCAAGACAAGGTCTCCATACTCTGGGCTGGTCTTAAGGTCACTGTGTAGCCCAAGAGTAACCTTGAACTTCTGATCCCTCTACCTCCACATATTGAATGTTGGGATTACAGGCCCCAGTCACTATGCTATTTATGTAGTAATGGAAATTGAAAGCAGGGCTTTGCTAAGCACCCTACCAGCTGAGCTACATCACCAGACCTCTTGCCCATCTCTTAACAAATAATGTATTCTTTCTACCTACATTCATTGCCCACTTACTAACCCTAATGGTGTGATCACCGGAAAACAAGCTTTGTTTCTTTATGGAATGACTTAAAAAGAAAAGCAATTGCCAATAGTACGTAAGGCTATAAGGGATGCAAGGGGACAGATTCAAATGGAAGGTTGTATGTAAGAGCAGTTTTTAAATAAATTATAGAGGTCCAATGTGGCTGTCTTAATGATGTGGGAGAGAATATCGTTGTCACCTACGGTGGTAGTAGGATCAGTTCTTTTGTGTGACTATCTGTGTGTGAGCCATTGTCTCCATGCTCTCCACATGACACCAAGTTTAACAGTGCATCAAAAATGCCTCTTTTTGTCACAGAGTAGAAGAAAGGAAATGGTCTTGTAGCAGGAATCTTAAACGGTCTTATTAATAAAATCAAACCTGAGGCCAGATATTGGGGTGAATGCTGGAAGATCAGAGAAGCAGAACAAGCCACAGCTACCTCACCTTGCCAGTTCCTCAGATGATCCTGTTTCCTCAGACTAGAAGCCTCTAAGTCTTCATCCAAAATGGGTCTCAGCAGAACTGCTGCTCAAAAGTCTGAAAGCTTAACCAGCCAAATGCTTCTAGTTTCTGGTCCTCATGCCTTATATATCTTTCTGCCTTCTACCATCACTCCCTGGGATTAAAGGCTCACTTCTTGGAATTAAAGGTGTGAGTCACCATGCTTGGCTGTATCCTTGTGGCCTTGAACTCACAGAAATCTAGAGGGATTTCTGCCTCTGGAATGCTAGGATTAAAGGCGTGTGCTACCACTGCCTATCCTCTATGATTAATATTGTGGCTGTCCTGTTCTCTGACCCCAGCTAAGTTTATTAGTGTGCACAATATTTTGGGGAACACAATACCACCACATGGTCTGATCGAGGTTTTTCTCTCAGCTTCTGGATAAAGACTCATACTCATGAGTTCCTCAGTTGAGGATGACTGCTTTCATCCTCTGTCCCTTCACCTCTCAATCTGATGTGTGTCTTTGTGTCTGAATTTCTCATCTTGACAAGGACACCAGTCTTATGGCATTTGCATTGTGAAAATATCTTCTAAGTGATTGAAAAGACATGGTGAACTCCTGATTCAGTTCAGCCCTTCTGCCCTGAGAGAGGCTGCCCTGGCCTAAAATTGCAGGTCAGACGGAAGTTGTGGTTATGAAGTCAAGAGTACGTGATGACAAATAGGGAAGAGTCTAAAATAAAAGAGACTGAATTAAACTTCGCCCTAAGTCATCTTGGGAAAAGGCTTATAATAGCAGGAGAACAAATGCAGCATCCCAAGAGGAGGTCAAAAGTGAGGTTCCCAAGGGGGGGGGGACTCGATGTGACACATGGTAATGCCACAAAAGTAAATTACAATGAGGGCTCTGCTCCCCCAAGATTCATAACACCAGACAGACCATGCTGGCAATACTCTGATCCAAGTAAAACCATTGTGCTGTGGATAACATTGCAAATAAATTCCCTATGTAAGAATGACGATTTGGGACAGAAACTTGGGTACTATCCTCTTGTTAAACCAAGTCTCAGATCTGTAGCCCTATCTGTGGATTCAGTAGGAGAAACACTTTAAAAGTCCTGACCCTCCTTCTTCAGTGGTCTTTAAATGTTATATCGCATAGCAAGAATGATGATCATATGTGCCAGCCATTTCCCGAGTGCTGTCCACACCCGAATGCTCTTAATTCTCACAACAGTGCTATAAATAACAGACAGAGAAATTGGGCAGTTGAGGAAATTCAGAGAGCAGCTAAGTAATTTCCAGTTAACTCCTGGCTGAGTCAGAGCTCAAATCTGATTCCACAGCCTGTGGCTTAACCACCATGGATACTGGTTCTCAAGGGAGACATACAATATTTCTGAATCTGTCTTTAAAAAGCCACACTAAAATGTGTGTTTTAAAAGCATTTGTTGCAGTTATTTCTGAAGATGAGTGGTATTCCTGTCCCTTTCTTTGAGCTGTCCTTCTTTGCATTCTTTACTTTGAGGCACATTCTCTTTCAGATACAACCCAGGGGACATCCCTGCTCCTTCATCCCTCCCATTCCCCCTCCCTGCAGCCTTGCCACAGACCTGCTCACTTCTGTCCCCTCCCCTGGCAGGTTTTCTGCTCATCCTCGTCTTGGGGCCAGCTCCTTCATTCACTGCTGTGATTCTGAACTGTTTGAAGTTCTCACAGACATCCTAAGTCATGTGCAGCAACCTGACCACTGCTCATGGTGTTTCCATGAGCAATTAATTAGTGCAGAGCACATCCAGTCAATGCTTGATCCCTGCTGGGTTGCAGAGGAAAGAAAAACATGACAAGGAACTGAAAGTAGCAGCTATTCCTTTACTTTTGAAAACAGTAATGAAGCGTAAAAGAATCAATAAAAATAATTATGCAAATTATATTAAATAATAAAAAATAGTAGTTTTAAGTGTGTGTTTCTTAACATATTCCTTGTCTCAAAGTACCTTGCTCAAAGAGGGGAAGAATATATATTGATTTGAATTGTGTACCTGAAGATGGAAACTGTTTAGTGTTCAACTATTTTAACTTTTATCAGTACTATTTACTCAAAATTGAAATCCCTTAACAGTTTATGTTCACATGTAACTTATTTATCACTGAAGATAAAGCATTAATACTGCATACATATATTCGTAGCTATATAATATTTAGCTTTATAAAAGCTATATATTAACTATGGCAGTATTTTTAGCTGGAGACAACTCAGGGAATAAAGCAACCATCTGAAGAAATTAAATGTCATTCATGTGACTGGAGAGATAAAAACAAACAGGCAATTGCGCACATCACCGGTTAAACCTACACTTACTGATGGCTTTTTATTGCTGTGACAAAATACCACAGCCAAAAGCGACTTCAAGGTGAAAGTTTTTATTTTCACTTACAATTGAAGATAGATGAGTTCATGGCAAGTTGCTGGGGTGTCAGCAATGCAAGAAGCTAAGAGATGGCATCTTCACTGAACATAGGAATCCAGAGAACTGGGAGTGGGGTGGTTTGCCCACCCTCAAAGCCCGCCCCCGATGACATACTTCCTCCGGCAAGGCTGTGCCTCCTAAGGTTCCATAACCTCCCCAAACAGCTCCACCTTCTAAGGCCATGTGTTCAGATATCTGCTCCTACAGAGGACATGTTCATTCAAACCACCACACTTAGTAAACTTTGGTTTTAAAATACATTTAAGTAAACTGGTTCCAACTTGACAGTTTCTCAAGAGATCTAAGGAATCATTTTTCTGAGCTGCATTTTAAATCAAACACAAAGGATGTATAAATGAATGCCATGGAGAGGAGATGAGGTTTGGGTAGGACAGTGTGTCCAAAGTCTTGTCTAAGACTGATGACCATGCAGCCCTGTGGGCAGCTCTGCAGTTGACCTGTGGCATTCTCCATGTCTCTGTCTCATTCCTTGTTATTTGAGTGAGATGATTCATTTATCACTCATAACTGCTGTGGATATTTGGAATATTTAGCAGGACTGGAGTTGATGATTGGGGCTCTATATTAAAAAGAAACTTATGACATTTTCAAAGTAAAGGATTGTCATGAATACTTACAGAGACCCTTCCTGTGCTGAACTAACATTGCTGAAATACAGCTTCTATAAATCAAAATCTAATCAATGTTTTCAGGATTATGACACAACTTGTTGGTAATAGCTTTGAAGTAGGCTTAGAACCATCCATCATGTTATCTTGGTCAGCAGTTCATTCATGTTACAAATCTCATGTGTGAAGGGCACAAGCAGGTGGAGAGCTAAATCAATTACCCAACCAGACAGCATATATCAATGCATCAAACATAAAACTGCTGATAATTTTAAGTGTCTCATTTTATTTTAATCTCTTCTTTCTGGCTTTTTAAAGTGTTATAAAGACTGTGATCACAGAGCCGTTGGAATGGTTACTGTTATACTTGGTAGAGACGGCACAATGGATGCTTTTTGTTAGACCTACCTATTATTATTATTATTATTATTATTATTATTATTATTATTATTATTATTAAGTGAAATTCCAAATAATTGTTTGATAGACTACTTCTATTCAATAGAACATATGCCTGTTAGCTGATTGAGTCATGAGCTATTCAGAAAACATATAGTATCTCACGATGAAAAAAATCCGTATGCAACCTTGATTATAGACATAATGATAAGGAAGGAAGGGACCGTAAGGTCATTTGAAGTTGTCATCTTTCCAACAGTTTCGGCAGACAATCTCTTCTCAGTGACAGGATAGAAAAGAGTGTTTCGTGTGATGCCTGGCAGTTCACAAAAGGACCTACTAGTCTCTTGCAACTCATCAGTCCTTACTCCTGGAACAAGGTGAACTGAGACTTCCTCTTCACACAGCTTCAAGGGGAATGGATGGATCCTTTGCTGGGTTACTGGGGCTGGGGGAGCTCCCTGAACCAAAGCCCAAAATGTAACACACATCCTTGTTTCTAAGCTGCGCTCACCCTTTATTGGAATCTCTCTTTATGTATATAAATGTGAAAGCCTATGGCATGTAGCCCTCCTTGCTAGGTGGGAATACTTGTGTTCACTTTTCTGATTCAAAAGCAAGATTGAAAAATGCATAACATATATTAAGAGCAACTTTCCTTGCTGTCTGGAAGTCATATAATATAGTGCCTCAGAGCCCAGACTCAGACACTATTTACTGAGACCTGAGACCAATCCCTTGGACTCTCTAGTTTTATCACCTATAAAGTGGGGATAATAGAATCTACCTCCTATGGTAATGATTAGAATGGACTTTCTCCTGGCCAACAGAAGTCCAGTGTCTCTATCGTATTGTTCTAGTTTGTTTTCTGCTGTTGTGATAAGTATATGGCCAAAACAACTTGGCAAGTGTTTATTTCAGTTTCTAGGTTTCAGTCCATCATTGGAGAAAGTCAGGGCACATGCTCAAGCAGGAACGGAAGCAGAAACCACTGAATGATGCAGCTTACTGGCTCTGGCTGTCTCATGCTCAGCTAGCTTTATCTATACACCAAGTCTACCTGCTC